ATTACCACCCGCCCTCAATCCGTGAAGCTCTTGTAACTTGTGAATACGAAACTGCGTGGCGCTAAGCTAAGACGAGAGCCACAGTTTGAAAAGGACCCGCCCCCAATCCGTGAAGAATTCCTTGCAAAGTTCAAAAAAAGAGTGTGCGCGGCGCTAAAGCGAGGGACACATGTTGAAAACAACCCGCCCTTACCCCGTGGAACTCTTACAACTTATTAAAGCGAAAATGCGCGGCGCTAAGACGAGAGCCACATGTTGAAAACCACCCGCCCTCAATCCATGAAGCTCCTGCAAACTTGAGAAACGAATGAGCGCGGCGCTACAGCGAGAGCCACATGTTGAAAACCACCCGCCCTCAATCCGTGAAGCTCTTGCACATGTTTAAAACGAATGTGCGCGGCGCCAAGGCGAGAGACACATTTTGAAAACGACCCGCCCTCCATCTGTGAAACTGTGTGACACGTCTTAAGCTTCAGAGGCAGACGTGGTGAGGAAATCTCAGGCGAAACGCCCGGCCTGCCCTAAAAACTGGCCGCGGGGTGCGACAGGGAGGGGTTATTTATAAGAAGAAGGGATGGAGGTGAGGAGGTGCTGCCGATGGAGCTTGGCTTGCCGCCCATAGAACGGCTTGTTGCCGACGGTCCTTGGCGGCGCCTCCTCGCAGAAGGGGCTGGGCCCTGGGGGAATGGCTCGAAGAAGAACAAACGTTCCTCGAGCCTTCCCCCTAGGGCGAGATCCCCTTCAAACGAAAACTATGTGTCACCCCCCCACGAAGAGAATCGATGTGTGGCCCGCACATTCAAAGGGAATCGATTTGCAACCCCCCACGAGGGGAATCTATTGGCCCGTCCCTCCCCCCACAAAGGAAAACATTACAATCCGCGCACCATCCAGAGAAAGCGAGAGAGAGAGAGAGAAGGAGAGGGAAAGAGAGGGCGATTATGAGAAAGAGAGAGAGAGAGAGTGCGAGAGGGAGAGATGCAAGCTTGAAAAGCCTACCTAGGACAACGTAGTGCCTGATATCTACCAGGCCCCCTTCGCACCCCAAGCCGTGATTTCCCCCCGCCTAGCCGTACGCGGCCCTGCTGCAGAGCCCGGTCCTCGTCCCTACCCCTCCCTCCAGGGAAGGGTAGGACGGGAAAGGAGGAAGAGGGAGTTTCGGAAGGAAAGGGGGGGGAGGAGCAGAAGGCGGAGGAGGAGGAGGAAGAGGAGGAGGAGGGAGGACAGGACTCTCGAATACCCTTATCTTATGAGTGCCAACGACCGATAGCGGAGGAGAATAGGGGGGATGGAGGAGATGATGGTTAGGAGGTGAAGGGTAATGGAGAGGAGGATGAGTCGGAGGGGCCATGATGATGAGGAGAGGGAAGATATAGGAGGGTGATGGGGGGTAGGAGGCAGGATTCACGAAGGAGGCAGGCGGAAGATTGAGAAGGAGGAGGGCGGGGACATTCGGACTGTGACCAACGACGGTGTCAAACAAGAAGATTCCAAGCCTGAGCCCTTCTCACCCAAGCATAACGACGATGCGTTCCAGGATGAACTGGGGACGCATGTTTTGCCCAACGAGTCCGAACAGGATGAGTACTCATGTCGGGACGTCCGATGCAGTACGAGAGAACGTGAGATGGACGCCGCTAGTCGAAACGCAGAACGAGATGGACGCCTCCTGTCGGGTTTGTATTACAATTCGGTGAATATTTTGCGGATGGATTTTTTGACTGATTGTAGGAGGGTTCGCGCCTAGGTGCCATTTCAGACGACATCCCACCCTTCTTGTCGGCAAAATCTGCTGGAGCGACAGTCCCTTGTACAAATTCGGTGCTGGAGGGGCCGCCGGAGGGGTATCTCGCTCTTCCGTTCACGCCTCGATTTTGCAGCGATGTCTCGAGCGGTATTCTTAGTGACCGACCCAGCATCCTCCGCTTTCGGAGCAGATTTTGCGGTGTCTCGGGCGGGGCGTTGGCTTTCGCACCCTAAGGGGCCCAGATTGCGAGGATGTCTTGGGCGGTTTGCTTGTTTTGATGGCTAGATTGGTTTGCGTTCAGGGCAGATCCCGAGGATGTCTCGGGTGAGGCGCTGGCTTCAGCACCGACAGCGGCTCATATTGCGGAGATGTTTTGGGTGATTTGCTTGTTTTGGCGGCCAGCCTCGTCTGTGCTCAGAGCAGAGTCCGAGGATGTCTCAGGCGAGGCGTTGGCTTTCGAACCCCAAGGGGCCCAGATAGCTGGGATGTCTTAGGCGATTTGCTTGGTCCGGTGGCCAGGCTCATCTGCAGGGTGAGCGGGCCGGCTCCAGTACTCCCAAAGTGGCTGGGGACGCGTTCCGGGATGCTGAACGTGGCTAACATATACCGCACAGGTAGGATCCACGGCGTGTTCCCTGCTTAAGTGGGAATGCGGGTTCGATTAGTTGTCAAGTTCGACGGAACACACGGGTTTGTCCAGGAGCAGCGGACCACCATCGTTGATTTCGTGTTTGGCACGGACGACCATATGAACTACAACACGCGCCCGGGCGATATCTTCAGGCCGCGCCGTTCCCCGACGGGCATGTGGGTGCAGGTCGACGACCTCAATCAGGCACCCACATGGAACAAATTCATGGAATACGTGGGCAACGGGAAGCAGGTTGCAAAAAAGAGAGAATTGCCCGCGGCCTGTTCTACGTACCTCTGATGGACGTCGCCTTCACGTGGGAGGCGTCGTCCGTGACGCACAGCGTGAAGCGCTTCGTCTTCATGCTCGCGCACGCCCGCTACATGACGACCATGGCCTCGCAAGCGCAAACGATACGCGGCGCAGCGGCCATCGACTGTGCGCGCCAAGAGCCCAGGGGACAACGCGGCGCTGACGACGACGCATGGTGGCTGAACCTTGATGTGGCGTTTTGCCGCGCCTCCCAGATGGCGGACATGCTGCTCGCGCGGCCGCCCCCTCGCTGGCCGCTGGAAAAAAAGGTCCGCCGAAGTCGGCGAAGGAGGCTCTCGAAGGCTTCGAGGACAAGGCGGGGCGAACGGTAGGGAGAGCCGTTATGACTGCCGAGGAATACGGGATGGCGTTGACAGAAGAAGAGTAGTTGCTCTAGCCTTCGGTGACCTGACGCCGATCGCATACGGTCTTGCAGGAGCTTGCTCACATGAGCAGCCTAATTAGTTGCTATATGGTCAGTGCGTGAGCGTGACTAAGTTGCCCGCCCGACGCCAAGTGCGGGCGACCCGTCTGCCCAGTTCTTTGCGCGCCCGGCCGCTCGCTGCTCGATACAGTCGCTTCGCCCATCGGCCGGATGCCGTGTGCGGACGGCCTGGCCGGGCGGCGCCTGCCGATGACGCTTTTCGTTCTGGTGGCGAACATGACTCGGTCTAGCCGCTCGAGAAACGAGCCACGCGTTCCCCCATTCGCGCAATGTGCTCTTCTCTGGGTTGCCGCAGTTCACTCCGCCAGCGGGGCACTGGCGCGCGAGCTTCCAGCGTAAAACCGCGAGCGGGCCATGTTTCTTCCACGCGGCGTGTCGCGTGAAATGTTTGCATGGGCCATTGCGCATGGTCTTCTGCGCGGTCTTCTGCTCGTGCCATTGAACGCAGTGCGACGGTTTTGCGCGGCGCTCACATGAGCAACCGTGTTCTTTGCATCGTCGTGGAGATAGGGATCGCGTAGCCATGTCGACGCAGTCCCGCTCGGTCATTCTCAGGCCACTGGCGCGAATCTACACTCATCCCGAGCTTTGCCATATCCAGTGTCAGACGCGTAGGCCCACCCGTAGAATTAAGACTCATTCGTATTCGAATTCACCCATTCATCGCAAGACGCACTCCAAAGGTGTCAATACGCAAATTCGATTATACTCACATTTTCTTTCGCTTAGACATCCACGGGGGAACGGGGAACGGCCCATACAAATACATGCGCATATACGGAACTCCTCGGGAGTGGGTAATTTTGTAGTTCCCATCCCCTCTCCCTCCTGTGCGCGCGCTCTGCCAACTATATAACTTACATTGCCATTCGGCCGCCTGGCCGAGCATGCCGCGGGTTCTGTGTGTTGCACGCTGGTTCGAGCGGTCGCCGCTTTCCGGCGGTCTGATCCCGCGCCAGGCGCCGTGACCTTCAGTGAGGACACGTTCTCGTTGTTTCGTCCGACTTGCGTTACTTGTCTGCGCTGTGCCACTGGTTTGTCTGTCTGCCTGTGTCCGCGTGGAGCTACGGCCAGGTTTCCCTGTGGGGTTTGGGGCAAGTGTTCCGTGTTTTTTCGTTGTTTTCAGTGGATATGCGTAGGGGCGTGCGTTGTTTTGTCCTCCCATCCCCCCGCTGTTGCGCTCTGTCTGCCGTGCCCCCGCGAGTCTGGGACGAGGAGTGACGTTCTGAGAACGCCACGGCGCCCGAAACATTCTCCAGAACTGCCCCGATCTCAGAGATTCTCGTTTTATTTTCACCCGATGTTGTTTTCGCCTTGGTTTCGTCATATTTTACCGTTTCTTGTTTTGTGTTTTGTTGCCTTCTCTCTCGTTCGCTCTCCTGCCCCTCTCCTTTCCTCCCTGTTCCTCTCTGCCGCCTGCGTCCCATTATTCCTGCTTGTGCTGTTGCCGTCCACCCGCTGCATTGCCCTGCTGGGCTAGTCGATCCTCCCTGCTCTGGCGGTTACCGCCCTCCTCCTCACGTTCCTTTTCCTCCTCCTTCTCCTGTTCCTCCTCTTCCTCCTCGTTTTGTCGTCCTCCACGTCGTCCTCGTGATCCTCTTCCAGTAACTCTTCCTCCTCCTCCTCCTCATCATCATTCTCCTCCTGTTCCCCCTCCTCATCCGTCCCCTCCTCTTTCGCCTGATCCCTCCATTTTTTGGTCCCTCCTTTCCCCCTCCACCCTATACTGCCCCCTCTCCCTCGCCCTGTTCGCATCCTGCGCGCCCTCGTCGTCCTCTTCGAGCTCCTCGCCACCGTCGCCGTCGTCCTCGCCCTCGTTCTCCTCGTCGTCGTGGTCGTCGTCGTGGTGGTCGTCGCCGCCCAAGGCCCCAGTGCGCCAGAAACGCCGCCGCGATGCCACGGATGGGGCCGCCGCCAGAGGAGCTGTCGGACGCTGGGGCCCCTGAGATGGGGCCGCAGCCGCCCGTCCGCGGGCAGGGCGATCAGGCGGTTGCTCCCCTCTTCCTCCCGCCCTTTTCCTCCGTCACCTCCCCTCCTGCCTTCCCCAGACATGCTCGCGTCCTGGTAGAATCACGGTTTGGCGGTTCCTGGCCTTTGGGGGCCCTTGCTCGCTGGGCGCCGGGGCCGTGAAACACCCGGCCCTGTGGAAAGGGTCGGGATTTCCCGTGGCCCCGTATTGAGCAAATCAAGACATCAGGTGTCTTGGCCTCCTCCCATCCTTCATGTTGCCCCCTTTCTCCCCTTCTTCCCTCCTCTTCCTCCGCCTCCTCCACCTCCTCCTCGTCCGTCTTTTTATTTCCTAGACATGGACCCTCCCTGTCCCTCCACCAGACGTGTCGGTAATTAGGGCGGGCTGGGCGTTGCACCTGAGATCTCACGACTTGCTGCAGCCTGAAGTTTCCAACGCTGACAAGGACCAATGGTGGTGGGCGATTCATTTTCAAAATGGGGCTCTCGCCTGAACGCCGCGCACATTCATTTTTAAAAGTCTGCAGGAACTCCAAGGATGGAGGAGGATTATTTTTCAACATGGGGCTTTCGCGTGCGTCTCGAGATTAAGAATTCACAGTGCTCCTAGGCCTGCGATGTTCTGCTCAGCATTCCGCGCATCACGCCTCCACCTCACCACGGCACCTAAAAATAGGTTTGATATTCAGTCGCAGAAATTCAAGCTTGTGTATCTCCTGCACGAATGGATTGCGTGTCCTGGGCAAATCGGGACTCTCGCTTGAGACGTTGGCCAGAAGTGTAGGCTTGCGCAGCTCTGTTGCACGAATGAGTAAGCGGCTCCTTCTTCGAGACGGGGAGCTCGCTGCACATATCGCTGTACCGTTTTTTATGACCACAATTGCTCGCTGGAAGAACGCAGGGCAGTTCCTCTTCTCGGCGTCAGCCAAACATGCTAACACCATGTGTGAGTCGCCCACAATGGGGCCACGTGCGCCCCAATCAATATTGTAGTATATGTTCGGCGGCGGGCGCTTTCTGGCCATGCCGCTGGGGTAACGACACACGGTCAGATTGTTATACTTTCTTGTCTGGTCGGACGCACGCCTCCAAGGAGGACACATAGTACAGATGTGTACTACATGGCGGGTACCAGGAATGGCCTTGCCTTCGACTTCTGCGGCGGAAGGCGGCGGAAGGTCGGCGGAAGGCGGCGGAAGTAAAACGAGGCAGCCTCTGCCAGCGGAAGGCAGGCGGAAGCCGGCGGAGGTAAAAGATGCGCACCCACCAGATTGCAACGCTTTTGTGTTCAGGGTTTCTGGAATCGACCGGATAGCACAACCTTGAAATCCAACGTTGCAAAACATGCATCGCACAAAATCACGCGCGGCATCCCTGGAAGCAATCTTTCTGCGTCATTTTTCGAGCCCGATCGATCTGTGAAGGCCCCGGGGACCGAAATCGCGGGAAAACGCCTGGTGTGAAACAAATCCAACGCCTGGATCTGAGGGAAGTCTGTCCCATGTGTCGGCCGTCGGCCGCTGGCCAGGCCTCGGCCGGTGCCTTGCCGCCCGCAGGGCCTGCCGTTGCCCCCCGGCGGCAGCCGCGCTGCCGCGGCCGCCCCCGCGGGCGACGGCGAGGAGCCCACGGGCCAGGCGGGCGAGCAGCCGCTTGCGCCGCCCGACCGCCCGAGCAGTCGTCGTCGTCGTCGTCGTCGTCGTCGTCGTCGTCGTCGTCGTCGTCGTCGTGGTAGTCGTGGTCGTCGTGGTCGTCGTGGTCGTCGTGGTCGTGGTCGTCGTCGTCGTCGTCGTGGTCGTGGTCGTCGTCGTGGTCGTAGTCGTGGTCGTGGTCGTGGTCGTCGTTGTCGTGGTCGTCGTCTTGGTCGTGGTCGTGGTTGTGGTTATGGTTGACGTTCGGGCCGGACGAAAGGGGGGGGTTGGGAAAGGGGGGGGTACGAATTTGCTGCGTGCAGCTGGTTTCGGCCTCACCGAGGGGCCCATTCCTCGATGCATAGCCGCCTCCGTCGCCGGGAGGCGCCGGGAAAATCAGCTACGTGAGCTGATTCTTAAACCCCCCTTCGCTATCCCCCCCTTTCGCCCGACCCGAGACGTGGTGGGTGTGGTCCTAATCGTCGCCGTCCTGGCCGTCGTGATTTGTGGTGGTTGTGGTCGTCATCGTGGTTGTCGTTGCCGTGGCCGCGGTCTCCTTCGTCGTTGTCGTCGTGGTCGCCGTGGTTGTGAAGGCATGGACGTCGTGGCCGTTGTTGCCGCGGATGCCGTCGTCGCTGTAGCCGAGGTGGTTGTCGTCGCATTCCTCCGCTTGGGCATTTAATGTTTGCCGGTGCTTCTCCGGTGGAGGAGCAATGGGCAACGGCTTCCAGCAGTTGGGCACTGATGGACTGTAGTGTTGGAGGGGCTTGGTGGCGTTGTGGTTGGGGGGAGAAAAAAAATCCTCCGTTGCTGCTGCTTCTGGTCCTGCCCCTTCGCGCCGTCGTCCTACTCCGCCGTCTCCCCACTCCTACCCCTAGGCGCCAGTGCAGAGAGAGAGAGAGAGAGGAGAGGGAGGCGGAGCGAAGGAGGAGTCTTGGCCAGAGGGAGGAGGAGGAGAGGGAGGAGGGGCGAGGGAGGAGAGAGGAGAGAGCAGGAGAGAGAGGGGACTGGAGAGAGGGGAGGAGAGAGGAGAGGGAGGAGGAGCGAGGAGGGAGCTCCTCCCAGGCAGAGCCGTTCTCGGAGGACGACACGGTCTTCATATTCGATGCGCGGGCCTTGCGGCCTTTGCCGCGGAGCCCCCCCGCCCTAATTATACCAGAGAGGCGGCAACTTGGTCGGTTCCTCCGTCTCCTCCCTCCTCGTCCTCGACGTTTTTTTTCTTTCTTGTCCAGCTGGTCGTCCTCCGTATCTTCCTCTTCCTGGTTGCCATCCTCTTGTGTGGTATCAACGTACATGTTCTTCACCTCGTCGTCGTCGTTCTCCTCCTCTTCCTCCTCCTCCTCTTCCTTGTCGTCCTTCTTTCTTCGTTATTCCATCCTCGTTCTCCTCTGCCTCGTCCAGCCATCAGCAAAGCAGGAAATTGCTCGGTTTAGTGCGGAATCCCGGAGAGACAGAAATAGAGAGGGGAGGATGTGGAGGAATACGAGGTGGATGTGGATGTGGACGAGGGCCTGGACGAGACTGACGACAAAGGTGAGGAGGATGAGGACGACGCGGATGAGGAGGGGGATGACGAATAAGCCAGGGGAAAGCAGATGGAGAATGAGGATGTCGAGGAGGGGTACGAGGACGAGGAGGCGGAGGATGAGGAGGAGGAGGCGGGACAGGAGGGTGGAGGGGGAGGACCAGGAGTTGGCGTAGACTGAGGAGGACGAGGAGGAGGCGAAGGAGGAAGAGGAGGCTGAGGAGAACTTGTTTTTGCCATCTGTCCCATGAGGGCATGACCGAGGTGCACTAGGCAATCATTTGCAGTCGTCCGAGCCCTCACCGACCGCTGCGATCAGCGCCTCCTCGGCCTCTTCCTGGACGTGGGGGGGGGGCTCGGACACTCTGCGAAACAGCAGCTCCCTGAGGCATTGCGCAGGGTGCTGGCGCCGCCGACGTGGCGGCAGCTAAGGGCGCTGAGAAGAGAAACCTCGCGGCCTCCTCGTCCGCCTCCAGCTCGAAAGGGTCGACGCCTTGGACCGATCGGCCGCAAGGAAGTCCGACGCTAGCCTGCTGCTCTGTCGCCGTAGGCGCCGCGACAACTGCGAAACCCGCTGGCAGCACCGCGGCCCGGTCGGCCGTGGCGGGCCCCACCCTCCCGTCGCGGGGGCGCCCCCCTTGGTGGGGGAGGGGCCGCGGCTGGTTAAAGGCAGCGGTGCTCCCTCCCTCCCAACCGCCGGGCTCGACCGTGGTACGGGTCGATCCCCCAGGAGCGGTCGGCACCGCCACGGCCTCGCGGGCCTGGACACGTGCCAGAAGCGCCAGCATCCCTGGCGTGGGACTGATACCAGAGCTTGCCAGAGCAGTGCCACCGACCTCCTGGGATGGTGGCTGGGCAGAGGCATGACTCAAGAACGAAACTCCTCTGCGCGAACTGCTCGTGAGCGTCGAGCTGTCCCGGTAGTGAGGATACATGCCTTCACATATGCGCCGAAGAACGGTCTGAGCGCTTGCTAGCTTGTGCTGGGCTCATTCTCGACCTAGCTTGTGACAACGGCTCCGCATACCATACAGAAACACATTGTCTGCTGGACGTCCCCCTCTGAGCACGCGGCAGTGCGCCAGAGTGTGCCCCAGGGAGTGAGCCAGAGACTTGCGCCAGGTCGAGCTCATACTTTTGCACCCGAGCGTGGGCCTGGAAGATGGGTCAGTCCAGAGGGAGAGGCAGCGCAAGCATCTGGATCGACCGTGCTCCAAATCCTGCCACGAGTGCCAACCTCCACTTTTCAACACTTGGCCCTGGGTCCCACGCTCGAACGCTCGAATTTTGCTTGCGGGACAACAGCCGAAACCTTACCACACACACGCGCACGTGCAATAGTGCGTAGTAATGTACATTTCCTGTCCACCTCTGCAATTTCGAGCGAGGAAGGCTGGGGGTGAGAGAGGAGAGCTTTCTTGGCCTGGGCATCCGCATACCAGTTTCCCAACCCGATACGGCGAGCGTCGTTGGGCAGAGCATCGGTATCATTCCGAAAGCGGTGAGCGGGAGTGTGGTGAACGGCAGCCACGTGCCCACTCGTCTCACGCGGCAGCGCTCCACGCCGAAGGCCTGCGTAACGGGGTTTACGTGAAACTTGGTGAGCAGCATTTGCACCACATAATTTCACGCCCGTCCTCGTACTGTCCCCGTACCTGTTACCCCCGCCATTCTGGAACATCGGAAGGAGAGCCACGGCCTGGTGTTCGGCGGCCTGAGACGTTTGAGGCAGGGTATCCAGGACAACTCCTCGGGCAGTAGCAACCGCGTCGTCAACCCCTGGCCCGAGGAAGGTCCAGGAGTAAGAGGCCCGAGAAAGCTCTTGAATACAGTGACGCATCGCCGATCCATCGACGCACGCGTCCAGCCCTCGCAAATCGACGGAGCCCTAAGGCACAGCCGCACCTGCGGCATCGTACAATGTCGGGTTCGGGTCGGTGGGTGGGGGAGGGGGGTGGCTTCAGGATGATCCCGCTTCATTTCATCAAAGAAGAGCCTGTCCTCGCTCTCGAGAGATTCTGTATGCCAGTCTGGCGGTGCACCCTCGAGAGCTTCAGCGCGTGCCCGAGCAGCAACAGGGTGCGCGCACTGCCGCAGGCGGTGTCGGACCTCGTCAGGTTGCCCGCAGAGTGGGCACAGACCGTCGGTGTGGTACCCACGCGCTCGGGCACGGGCGCGTGTCAACGCGCCATTGCAGAATACCGTGCGAGCGAGATACCTCTCCCGAGGGCTAAGTTCTTTTCCCTGGGGTCCGAGGGCCTTTTTGAGCGGGTCCACGCAAACGCGGGTCCCACAAAAACAGGCGTATTGGTCGCCACAACTCTCTCGTGATGACGCCGAGTGGCGAGGTCGAGTAGGTGGGCCAGCAAGGAAGGGGAGGTGTATGCCACATGTACTTCTTTACCCATATCGTCCTGGAAGGTCAGCGGCGACAAGGAAACCCATCCCAAACGGTGGAGACAGAGGTGCATGCGCTGAATGGGGCCCTTCGAATTTCGCCAAGAGACCTGGTCATCAAACGGGATGCTGCGCCATATGATTCACAGTTCCGTAATCGTGTACCTGGAAACGCTAGGGCAGGCAAGGGCCGCCCAAACAACCCCCGCCCACATGAGCACAGGGGCCACGGCCGCGCGCCACATGGGATCACCGAGGATAGTGAGTTTGGCCTGGGGAGAGCACCCGTGGTGTCTAGGGGGGGTGTAATTCAGAAGGACCCGTCGCGCCTGGAGCAGCTCATGGTCACTCACCCCGACCACTCCCGATCCAAAACTGACCGCTGGCAAAACTCCAGCAACGTAGATTTCCCTGATTCGGCCCTTCTTCCGAGGGAGCCTGTGGCGGTGGCGCTGGAGCACTTGGTGTCGGCGGTGCATATCATGAAAACGTGCCTTGCGCTTCCACGGAGCATGCCGATCAGACCATCCCTGTGCTGGCGCAAAGCCGGCGCGGGGGGAGACTGCGCCATTGGAAATTTGGCCCGCCATGGCGCCGAGGCGGCGCGCGATGGTCTTGGCCAGAGCAATTGAACTGCCGAAGGTACACGCCTTATCAGGATGACCCGATACACGACGCTCGTCACGAAAAGCAGTATGTATCGCAGCAGCCGCTCTAGTAATGTTAGCAACCACCACGATGTCCGTCTCCTGCGTCGTCACGCTGCTATCATCCACATACGAAGACAGCCACGCATCACCATGATTAGCAACGAAGTTATCGAACGCCTCGATGCTATACACATGCACGAGTATATCATTAAAGATGTCCCCCGCTGGGAGTCCAGATGTAGTGAAATAGGGCAAAGCCGAATACTGAGCCCCCAGGCGGAGGAGCCGCGGACCACGCCAATAGTTGTACGTCGTCTTCACGATCGTACCATCAATGCCGTGATCGAGAGCACGCTGGCGGAGGAGATCTAAATCGAAAGACTCGTCATACTCAACCCCATCCCATATGAGCCCTCCCGTCACCTTATCATCATGTCGTGCCACTTCGGCCTGCGCAGCCTGATGCCACGCTGCGTCCTCGGCTCTTCGACCTGGGCCAAACGCCCAGAACTTACGAGGGTACCTAACGTTGAAGTCCAGAATGACGGGTCTCCTCAATCTTTCCCAAATTCGGACGGGACCCGCACATAACAAAATGGGGCGGAGGCCGCCCTTCGGTTTTTCGAACAAAGGAAAAAAAGGCCAGAACAGTTGTTTTGGGAACAGGCCCAGGGACTCAATCGTTTGCACCAACGCCGCACAAGTTTCCAGAGCCGGGCCCGATCCGAGGCTGAATTGGTTGGGGTGGAAGCCATCGAGCGATTGGGAGGTGTTGTGATTGAAACTGCGTGAGGCATTCCGAACCTCGGCCGCCGACGGCCGAGGCAAATGAACACGATCAGGAACACGGACCTCAGGAGGCACGTGAGACGCGTGCCAAAACTTGGCCAGCTCCTCACCCTCACGGCGGAAGAGGAGCTGGGGGTTACTCGAATGGATTCTGGGGTGGGTCTGAACGACCGTGGGGTTCCATTTCGTTTTAAGCTTAGTGAGTCTATACATCGCCTTAGCACCACCCTCCAACACTTGCTCCTGTCATTGATCCCAACTATCCTGCTGCTGCTTATCGACGGCCTGCCTGGCCGAGAGGAGGTCGTCCTCCAACGAGGTTAAAAACTCCTGGCAGGCGCTGCACCACTCATCCAACGAGCCTGACAAGGGGTACCTGCTCTCTAGGCTGCGGGCCTGGCGCAACGTGGCGTCGCGGCGGATGCTGACGCCCTCGCCTGGACATGGGAGACTGAGGAGCTGCTGGATCTGAAGCTGAGCATCCTGGCTCAACTGCTCTTGGGCAGCGTGGTCGACAAAACCGTCAGGGTCCTCGGCCGCTTGGGCCACCGCTTTTTTTCAGCCTCTCAGAGGCCCCAATCGTTTCGCCGAGGTGATGAGTCAGCCACATCGAACCACGCTGCTCAGCTTGGGCCTCCATGGCCCAAGGTTTAGCAAATCTTGGCACCCACCTTGGTTGCACAAAGCCTCCACGAAAACCTTTGCAACATACCTCCTCACCAGTGACGCTCTCGAGCTCAAGCTCG